AATTCGAAGTTTATTTTGTAATAGTTTAGATTAAAAATTGTCTGGATAAAATTGCAATTATATTGCATAATAAATTATATGAACAATCTGAATAATTTGATATACTAAATAAAAATTTTATTACAAATACAATTTCTGCCTTGAAATCATAAATATATAAAGCCAATTATTTTTCTTTCTTCTTCATTAATTTCTCTGTACTCAATATCGTGTTTCAGATCTTTAGTTACCATGTCTACAACACCTTACCTGCTTATTAACTCTTCTGAAGAATCCTCTCACAAGAATGCTCAATGTTCTCTTCAAAAAGCCAAAAAAACTGCAAAATATAATAATCCTAAAGAAAAACAATTAAAAAAATGAAAGTTCAAATCAGTCCATGAACATCTTGATGAACTTAGTGATGAATTTGAAATATTCAGGCTTTGCAAGAGATGCAACAACCAATTGATAGAGGATGAGTCAACTTCGCAAGCCAGTAAATCTTTGTGCTATTCAAGTATTGAACATCACCACATTGAGTCCTTGAATCATGATTTTCTATGATAGATTATTATTAATAAACATCCTTTTTCGATAATTGAAGAAGAATCTTTTATTAAATTTGTTTCAAACCTTAACCCACTTTACAAGATTCCCTGTTGCCAAGCCTTTTATATAAATATAAGAAACTATTATAATTTGACAAAAATAAGAGTTAAAGAAATCTTAAAAACTAATAAGAGTAAATTAGCACTCTCTTTATATGCTTGGACCATGCATACACAACAACTTTTTCTTGGAATTACTATTAATTGGATTGATTCTGAGTGGACAATGAGAACTCTTCTTCTCGATTTTATTTCCTTATCTGAAGCGTCTAGAGAAGAACATATTGCAGAAAAAATTTTAGAACTTGTTAACGATATGGAAATAAAAAAATAAATAATTGGTTTTACCGGTAATAACATAGAAAATGATTTAACATGTTTACGTTTTCTTCAAAAGTCCATAGACCCTAACCTTGAGTATGTGTGCTGTGCAGCACATATAATCAATCTCATCGCTGAAGCAGGTCAAAAAAAATATCTTGCCAAAATTCGGAAGGCTAGATATTTTTGCAATAAAATAAATTCATCTTCTATTTTGAAGAAAATGAAAAGAATTGCCACTATTTTAGATTGCCCATTTCATCACCCCATAGTTGATATTGATGCAAAATTGACATCTACTTATCTGATGCTTGAAAGGCTCTATCAAATTCGAACCATCACTGACAGTCTTGTCCAATCTCGTCCAAATTTAAAGAATAATTACTTGGAAATCGAAGATTGGATAATTATTAAGAAGATAATACAGCTCCTTAAACCATTTCATAAGGCAGCCTTAGTCCTTTTAGATACTTCATGACCTTCTCATGGATC